CTGGACTTGCACGAAGCCATCGATGCAGCGGAGTGACTGCGACCCTGCCCCCTCTCCCCGCAGGCGGCCGAGTCGATGCGTTCGCACTTTGACACGCACGGCACGCTCCTCGCGGACGCCTGAGAGCGGCGAGGCGCAGGGATGCCCGCCGCCGCCAGTCAGGTCGCTCCCGTCTGCGAGCGCCACAATGCACAGAGCCCGGTCGAACTGAACCATAACTGAACTTGCACTGTTGCACAAGTCTCACGTTGCCGTGCTCGTGTTTCTCGTCCTCCACCCGCTGCCTGGGGAGGACAGGTCCTCGGTGTCGCAGGATACGAACTACATACGCGGGCGCTGCTTTTTTACGTTCGCGCGACGCGGCGGCCGGCGGGCATAAAACACACGTTTCGTTTTGTGATGCGGATTGATCGGCGGGGCTCTCTCCTCGCGGTCTGCACTGCGCACACTGCGGTGCAGCCGCGAGTCGCCCGGGCCCGCCATGGCCCGCAGCGCGCAGGCGTAAGGAGGCGAGGCCGCGGGCGCGGCACGGGCCCCACGGCCCACATCGCGCACGGCCACTCCGCACTCGGCAGGCGCACCCCCGCACGGGCGCACGCCCCGAGCCCCTGTATCTATAGCGATGCCGCATAGTAGATCATACCGTACACGTTGACGTAATTTCGGGGAGGCGGGGAGTGGGGGCCCGCGCACACATACCGCCTGCACATAGACTTCTCACTGCGCGCGCATGTCAGGCGGGGGGGGGGGTGGGTCTTGAGCCCCCTCATTCTGTGTAGTGCCGCATCTCAGCCTCTTCTAGCTTGCGCAGCGCCTCCAGCAGCTCCGCTTTCGAGAGCCCCGCCACAACCTTCTCAACGTCGTCGCCCCGGGCGGGCGGGCCAAACGGATTGAGGCCGTCGCGACTGCTCGAGCTCGCCGCGGCCGGCAAGTCGAAGAGCGGCGGCAGAGCCGGTATCACCACGCTGCCACCGCCGCCGCCGCCCGCGCCACCGAACGTTGGGCTGCCCGCCCCCGCCGTCGTGCCGAGCCCGGGCCCGAATGCCGCGGCAAAGCTGCCGCCGAAGCTGCCGCCCGCCAGCGGCGAGTGGTGCGGGTTGGGCTGGTGCGGGTTCGTCGAGCGGGCCTCGTGGCCAGCGCCTGGCCCGTCGGGCAGGTCGAAGGGGAAGTCCTCCAAGACAGAGAGCGCCGCTTGCTCCGCCAGCGAAGCGTCGGAGAAGCAGAACCGGTCCGGACTGCCCCCTCGCTCGGGCGCCGCGGCGGGCGAAGCGGGAGTAGTCGCGTCCGACGCGGTCCGCCGCCTGAGCGAAGAGAAAGACTGCGACGCGGCGTTGAGCTGCGACGCCGCCGGGCCGGAGCCGCTGCCGGCACTGCAGGCAGCGGAACTGCAGGCCGGAGGGGTGCGGGCCGGAGGGAGGCTTCGGCCGCCCTCTCCCCGCCCTGGCGATGACGGCGGGGCGGGCACGGGACTGGACAGCGCCGGCCTGGCCGAACCCCCCTCCCTGCCAGATGCGTGCCGCGCCCTCGCTCGGTCTCGCGCGCCGAGCGGCGGCTCGCCGATCGCGGAGGGCGGGTGAGTCGGCGCGGGCTGTCTGACGTCCTGTCTGGCGTCGCTGGCTGCTGCCTCCCCGCCGGCCGGCTGGACTGGTCCGGGCGGCGATGCGGCCGGCGGCAGGGGAGACTCTGCGGCGGTCGTGTCTGCGCCGCCCAAATCGAGCCCGTCGAGCGGAGTCGCGGAGCCGCCGCTCGCCGCCAGAGGGAGGGACCGAGCGGGAGACCCCCGCGCCGCCGACCCCACCACGACGGCATCCTCGCCGTCCGCAGCCACGTCGGACACGCCGCTCGCTTTCGCCGCCGCGTCCGGCGAGGGGCGAGGCGCCAGCGCCTGTCGACCCTCGGCGCGCGCACCGTCCGAGGCGGAGGAGGTCGGCGGCCGGCGTAACGCTGCCGCAGCGACGGCGCCCGCGTCGCGTGAGCTGGACTCGCCCGAAGCGGTGGCGAGGGCCACAGGAGGTCGAGCCGAGAGGCTGTCCGCGACGTCGGAGGCGCCCCTGTTCGCCTCTGGCCCGGACCGCCTCCCCGAGGAGCTGTCGCCGCCCTGCCTCGCCTTGACCGGCTCGGCGCGGCTTGGACGGGGCAGCGCCGCAGACTCGGAGCCCCTGCGGGGCACGGCACGCGCCGCCGCGTCTCCGCCTCTGCTCCGGCCGGAAGGCTCCTTGGCGGGCTTCGGTCGCCGCTCCTTCCGCCCGAGCTCGTCGTCGTTCGCCGGCGCCGGTGCACTGCTCTCGGCCGGCCGTGCTGGCGGGTCGACGAGCGACTCCGTTGGCGGCCGCGCCAGGGACAGGAGCAGCACGGCGCGCAGCGGTGATGGAGACCACGCGATGAGATGCGCGGCAGCCTCGAGGCAGCCGGACTCGAGGAGCGACTTCAGGCGCGCCGCGACGGGCTCGCCGGCGAAGAAGAGGCGGCACACCCACGCGAGGAGGAGCGCGGGCGCGAGAAGAGCCGCGCCGACGAGCAGCTGGCCGAGCTGGCGCGAGAGGACGCATGTGGCGACGACGGAGAGGAGGGACGGAGTGAGGGAGAGCGACGCCATCGGGAGCGCTTGCACCCGATCCGCCGTGAGGAGCGTCAGCGCGTCCAGCTCGAGGGAGTGAGCGGCGCACGCCTCGCGCAAGTCCACAATGTCGGCGGCGGTGAAGGCAACCTTTCGCCACGCCCTCAGGCCGAGCGGCTCGGAGGTGCGGTTGCCCTCCGTCGCCCTCCCCTCGGCGCGCCTCCTCACGGGGTGGAGGCGGCTTGAGACCGACTCGAGCGTCGAGAGCCAGCGCCTCACCCCGGCCGCGTTGTAGTGCGCCGCCCTCGTCCACGCGAAGTGCCAGCCGAGGCTGGACAGCCGCTCCGCCAGACCGCGGCTGGCCGCAACCTCGACGAAGAGCAGCCGCCCGCCCTCGAGGGACGGCTCCGCGGCGAGGTCGCCGCAGACGCGGCCGTCCTCGTGGTCCTCCTCGCTGAGCGTGCGCCCGGCCGCGTCGGCAGCCGCCTGCCGCAGCCGCCTGCCCAGCTCGCGGATGCTCCTCGACGCCGCACCACGGGGCGCCCTCCCCGCCGAGCCGCGCGCCGCCTCCCCGTCGACCTGCGCCGCGTCGGGTGCCCCGCCGAACCGCATGCGGCGTAGCCGCTGGGCCGCGCTGGGATGCGAGGAGGGCGGGCTGACCGACCGGAGGCCCTCGACCAGCGCCTTTTCGTCGTCGGTCGGGGGCGCGACCTCGTCCGAGAGGAGCGACGTCACCCGCCAGAGCACGCGGTGCGGGTCGCGCAGGGAGGCGCGCCCGTCCGCGTACGCGAAGCCGGAGAACACGTCCTGCAGCGGGTGGAGCTGCAGCTTGATCTCGGCGTTGACTCGCCACGACCCTCCCGGGACGTGCTCGCGCCACACGCCGCCGATGCCCTCGAGGAGCGACGCGCCGGAGTGGAGCTCGAGCCAGCCCGACGGCTTGCACACCTCGCGCCCGACCATCCACGACTCGCGCCTAGAGAAGAGAGGGGGGGACATGAGGAGAGCTGGGGGAGAGGTGAGCAAGTGCGTCATCCGCGACTCGCGCCCCGTCGGGGAGTACAGGTAGAGGCCTCCCTCGTCCGACGCCTCGCTCGCGGGCCTGCCGCCGTCCGCCTGCTGCATGTGCTTGTCCTGCATGTGCTCGTAGACGGGCACGCCAGAGCACTCCAGGTCAGTGGGCATGTAGAGCCCGTGCGTGTGGGGCTGGTAGCGCGAGCCGAAGATGTACACGCAGCCGGTGGAAGCGCCGCAGTGCGTCAGCGCGCGGATGGCGTCTGAGCGGGACCACGCCGAGCCTAGCGCGGAGCGAGGAGCATCCTCAGTCGCTGCAGTACTGCGAGACGCGGCTGCCCTGCGGCCCCGCCGCGCGCCATTGAACTCTTGCCACGGCCCCGAGGAGCCCGCCTGTAGGAGCTCTGCACGCTCGGCCATGGAGCGCACCTCGACCCAGCCGTTGGAGCGGCACGGCTCCGTGCCGATCAGCCACGAGTTGCGGCGCGCCGGCGAGTAGAGCGAAGCGGGCGGGTTGCCACCCTCTGCGCGGCCGTAGCGGACGGCGCGGGTGTACGCCGGCTTGCCGTTGCAAGACCCGTCCTCGAGAAAGATGCCGTCCTGCAGCAGTCCCGGCGGTGAGCAGTCCCGGCGGGCGGGCGGTGCGACGCGAGAGGCGCCACGCGGGGAAGGGGCTTGGGCGGGCGGGCGGTGCCTGGGTCATCTCGGGTAATCTCGGGTCCTCTCGGGTCCTCTCGGGTCCTCTGCCTGGGAGGAGCCGGCGACGATCAGACAGGCCGCGCGCGACGAGGCGGCCGTCGTCCGTCGGACGACAGACGCCACCTAGGCACACCGGCCAGTGGGTGGGGGCCTCGGCGGGGGCGCAAGGGGCGGGCGAGGCTTCGTAGCGGGCGGGGGCGCAAGGGGCGGGGGCGGGCGGGCCGCCTCCGCCGGGCAGGGCGCGATGACGATGTTTGAGTTTTTGACCCAGGAGGAGGTGGGGCTCGTCTCGAACCAGGTGCTGTTGTCGAGCTCCTCCGCCGTCTCCGCCACCGAGTACCGCTCCTGCGGGCGGGCAAGCGCGTGGGGAGCGGGCTCCGAGCTGCAGGAGCCGGCGTCGGGACACATCTGCACCATCTCGGCTACTCTCGGCTACTCTTGGCTACTCTCGGCTACTCTCGGCTACTCTCGGCTACTCTCGCGCCATCCACTTGAGGCGCGGCGAGTTGTCGCACGCCACCGGGCCGATGTTCCACTGGTGCTCGAAGCCGGGCGAGTGCAGAAAGAGGGAGTCGATCGTGGACCGCTGCCGGTAGACGGGCTTGTCTTGGCAGCTGCGGCCCGTCCGCTCGTAGACGCCGTGTATGCGCGGCTGGCGGCGGGAGAGGGGGCGGGGGGGGTGGCGGGGGGTGGGGGGTGGGGGAGGAGAGGGAGCGGAAAAGCCCCGAGGGAGTGTCCGTCTCTGCGCCTGGTGTCTCTGCGCCCGGTGGAGCGAACCTGTCCCTACCCTGCCCCTTACCCTGTCCCTAGCCCGCTAGCCCCGGCCCTGCGCCTGGTAGGCGGAGCCGGTGACGTAGATGCAGTCGGCGAGACCGACGCACCGCGAGCCGATCGCTTGACTGAAGAAGCCGCTCGGCAGCGAGGTTGCGGAGCGCCACGGGTCGAGCAAGCTGCCGACGAGCTCGCGCGGCTGGAGCAGGAGGGGCGACGAGGCGACGAGGAGGCGGCAGCCTGGAGAGGGCCAGGGTCAGGGTCAGGGTCAGGGTCAGGGTCAGGGTTGTTATGCCCAGGGTAGGGGTCGCGACGGGCCGAAGCGGGCGGTGCGCGGTGTCTCACCCGTGGCGAGCAGGACGCACGTCAGAGTCGGCACGAGCAGCGAGCAAGCGGCGCGGCAGAACCTAGTGCACCGGCCGGCTGCCTCTCGCAGGAGTGTGCAGAGGGCGAGCGGCGGCGGCGCTTGGTTGCGCCTCCGCGCGGCGTCGCCCGCCGAGCGACTCCAGCTGGCGAGGGGGCTGGAGCGGCCGCGCGCGCCTGAGGACGGGCGGGCAGCAGAGGCGGGAAGGCTCCGCGGTCGTGCCGAGGCGGGCTGGGGCAGCGGCCGGAGAGGGATGAGCGCGCGCCGGCGCGCACACGGCCGGCGCCTCTCGACTCGGAGTCGGACCTGTGCGGCTTGGCGGAGCCGCTCTCGTCCTGCAGCGCGGGGAGGGGAGGGTGCGGCCCGGAGCCGCGCTGGGCCGGGCGCCTCTACCCCCGCCGCCCATCCCGCCCTCCGATCCACGCCACGCCTCGCATCTATTTGCAGGCACCACCTCGCTCTCAAGCAGCTCAAGCAGCCACTCGGCGCCGAGCGCCTGCGTTGGAGAGAGCGAGAGGATGGTTCAAACCTTCCCTGGGGAGCTCTGGCGTGCGCGGTCCGTCTCTCGCCAGCACGAGGACGGAGCCGACGAGGAGCGGGCGGTTTGCGACCTGCGCGAACGGCGGGTCGGAGGTCAGACCGCGCGGCGGCGCCGATGCCGCCGGGGATCGCGCGCCAGGTGGTAGACGCGCTGGAGATCGGACGAGAGGTCGTACACCACCACCGCGAGGTTGAGCAGCTGCAGCGACTGCAGCGACGTGTCGGCCGTCAGCGCGACCGAAGTGAGCGCCCAGTAGATTGCCGCGGCGGCGACCCCATGCCGAGCAAAGATGCAGGAGATGACGACGCCCGTCAACGCCCAGACTTGCAGGCTGGCCGCCGAGAGCAGCATCGCGGATGGCGATAAAGGGGTTTGGCGACCGGCGTAGCGTTCTGCGGGTGCCGGTCGGCGAGCTCTCTCTCTCTCTCTCTCTCTCTCTCTCACTCTCTCTCTCTCTCTCTCTCTCTCTCTCTCTCTCTCTCTCTCTCTCTCTCTCTCTCTCTCTCTCTCTCTCTCTCTCTCTCTCTCTCTCTCTCTCTCTCTCTCTCTCTCTCTCTCTCTCACTCACTCACTCACTCACTCACTCACTCGTTCACTCTCTCTCACTCTGCAGGTGCCGGCCGGCGAGCATTCTCTCTCTCTCTCACTCACTCACTCGTTCACATAAACGCACAACCCCGTTCACTCTCTCTCACTCTCTCACTCACTCTCACTCTCCGCCACATAAATGGAAAAAAGCACCCCGCCCCGCTCGCAGGGCGTGCATGCGGCCCGAGACCCTTTATTCTTTCGGCAGCCAGAGTGCGGAGAAGCAGGGAGGGTAGGAGGGTTCGGGCTCCTTGCCGTCTAGCGGGTCTGCAGTTCCCCTAGCAGTTCCCAAAACTCGCCAAAAATCGGCCCGCACCTACCTATCAGGGGCCGTCGCGGCTCGCGGGGCGGTGCGGGCTCGCCCATCCCTACCTACCTATGTGACTCTCTCCTATGTGTCAACCCGGGACGGACGGACGGGCCGCCTCGTGGGCTGAGGGAGGGTGTACAACAAACTCTGCATCATCAGCGGCGAACGAGGCACGGTCGCTCTCCGACATGAGGCGCGTTGGACTTGCGCCACGGCCCAGCGCTGCCCTGGCCTTCTGTCTGCCCGCCCAATGGGTGGCAGGTGCCTCTGCGGCATGCCTCACGGCTGCGACTGGCCGGCGCCTCGGCGCGTCAGCTCGGCTCGGCGTAGCGATAGTGGCCAGCGCAACTCGCCTGGACTCTCAACGCTCAGCCAGGTCCCAGGAGCTCCCGCACGCGCTGGCGCGAGGAATGCACGCCTCGCCTCGCGCAAATGCGACCGTCCTCGCAGCCGACAGTCCACCGCCTGCTAAATAAGCACTCTGCGACGAATGCGGCACCGGCGACGCGCTTGGCAGGCTGGTCACGACGCAGTTATATAGGGTGTTGTGTGCCGTCAGAGTGACTCTCTGTGTGTCAGGCTCAGGGATAGTCAGGGCTGTCCATCAGAGCTCCAGTAAGCTCGGAGACACCCCATTAGCGCGGCTCGACCTCTTTGAGTCACTGCCTTCCCGGCGGTTACTTTGGCTGTAGAGCCTCGACAACAAACTCTACAGCAAAATCGCGCTCTACATCGCTCTACAGGCGACTCACATCGTCCCGCGCCGGATGTAGAGCTCTACAGCGTTCGGCCGGGGCGTCCTGGGCGGGCAAACGCCCGCCCCGGCGGCCGACTCTGGGATTGTAGGTCGAGTCTTGGTGGTACGGAGACGGTCACGAGACGGGACGGACGGGACCTCCGGACTCTAGGACGACGCCACGGGACTCTAGGAGAGAGAGTGTGAAGGGAGTCTGGCGGGGCTTTGGCCCGACGTCCCCCCCCTCGACGAGTCGACGTACGGCTCTAGTCGAGCAACCGTAACTCGCTTCGTCAATCTCTTCGGACCTTCGATGTGAGTCAGGTCGGAGTCCATCGGCGGAGTCGTCGACATTGTGGTCGACGGCGTGTGCGAACCGATGGCGCAGTGGCGTGTGTTGGCGAGCGAGCCGAAGGCGCGGGAGAGAGAGAAAGTCGAGAAAAACTCTCTCGGCGGAGTGGTCGACATCGTAGTCGACGGCGTGCGAACCAATTGCGTAGCAGTCGTGTGGATCACCGGTATTACATACGCCCTGGCGAGCTGGTGCATCCACTCGGTTGCTGTGAAGAATTGAGTCCGGTCGTTGTCGCGATTGTGAAAAAAAAAATCGTCGTGTTGACGCAAAAAAAATATGTTGATGCCGTGACCTCCGGGAGGTTGAGTGGCGACCTCGGTGAGGTTTACTTAGTTCGTTCTACGGAGTGACAGCACCTCCGGGCGGTTTTAGAACTTTGATCGGTACTCAAGCCACACAGAACACCCGCTTACTATGCGTTTGCTTTTCACCCTTTGAGCGCAGGTACTCGGCGAACGAGTTATTGATGAACTCGCCGCCGTTGTCGCTGTGGAAGCGCCGTTGGATGGTCGAGACGTATGGCGACATATCTTGCTCATAGCGTGCGTAAGTATGCTCAAGGTCGCTCTTTTCTCGCATCGGGTATACCGAGATGTAGCCGCTAAAGTCGTCGACGAAGACGGCGGCGTACCGGAAGCTGTGAACAGCGCTTTCAGGGAGAGGGCCAAGGAGGTCGCTGTACGTCAGCTCTCCCACTTGGGTCGACTTCTCAAATGTTGGGGCTGTCTTTGTCTCCGGTAGTTTCTTCATGCGAGAGCCGACGCACGTTTCACAGGAGTGGCGGTGTTCGGCGATCGCTTTTGCGGGCACATGGATGTCGCAGCCGACAGCGTGCTCTGGCAGTTTAGCCATAGCTGCGAGAGGCATGTGCCCTAGGCGGCGGTGCATGAGCTCCACGTCTGGGCTCAATTCCGTCCATAAGGCAGTGGATAGGCTTTGGTCGTACCCGCTGACTGGCCTGATGGCCACCCGTGAGATGTCTTTGGCGTTTGACACCGAGACTTCTCGTCCGTCTATGATGAGCGTGTCGTTGTTGCGTGCGCTGATCGAGCTCACATCTTGAGATGGGATGATCTCGGAGCCGTTGAGACGGCGGTCGCGATTCACCGAGAAGATGTTTGCTTTGAACGTCGGGAGGAAAAATCCGTTGCGCACGACGGGGAACCAGTTGCCGTCTCGGTCTTGCACCTCGAAGGCGAAGGGTCCATAGGAGTGACACGTTTCGGATTGACCCGTGCCGGTATTCATGCGGACATTGGTCGGCACGTGGGCGGAAGGGTCGAGGATGAAGGCTTTGTCTCGGAAGACGTGGGCGCCTCCGCATGAGTCGATGTGGAGGTGCGTCGTCTGGTCGCCTTCGTCAGCGGATAGGTCGGTAAGGTGTGCTGATGGCGTTCCGCAGGTTTCACTCACCAGCACGGTGAACTGGTCAGCAGAACAGCTGATGTCGAAATTAATCTTGAAGTGTCGTGCGTAGAGGTAGTCAACGAGGGCGAGAGCGTGCTTAAACGTCCTCTCGTCGACATTATGGGCCTCGGACACGGACGGCAAGCGCGTGTACTGTTCGGGGAATTCCCGAAAGTTGATTGCCGCGTACAGTGCGTCGGCGGCGCCTGGAAAACCGTCGAGCCCGCCTCTCTTGGCGAGCGTACTGAAGGCGTCGGTGTTGTGGGTTCTGACTTGCCCCTCATCAAGAGCGCAAAGGCACGCCTCGAGCTCAGGATAGAGGTCGATGTACTCTTCTTCTGGAGGGCTTGGTGGCGCGCTTTCCGGACAGTAGACTTGCCGGTGTGGGCTCGGTGCTGTCGTGTTCGGAGCGCTCAATGAGCTGGGGCGGACCGTCGTGTCGGGCCCCGCTTACGGAGTGACAGCACCTCCGGGCGGTTTTAGAACTTTGATCGGTACTCAAGCCACACAGAACACCCGCTTACTAGCCTACTTTTCAGCGTTTCCGGGCTCGCAAAACCCGGCGGGTGCAGCGGCGCAAGACCTCTCGGAGGTCGCAGGCCGACCTCGGGGAGGTCGGGGAAAAACCCCCGTTCGGCTATCTACTCGCTCCCCCGCTACTCACAGACACTACGGCTGTCACGGGAGACTCACAGTGGCTACTGAGACTGTTCACACGTGACGTTCACACCTGGGGGACCAGGGTGTATCCGCAACTCGCGCAGCTCTACACCCTCCCTCAGCTCGTGGGCTGGCACGCCCTGTTTAGCCGCGCTTCTCGCTCGTGGCCGCGCCATGCCTGACCCTCCCCAAGCTGCTCTACCTAGACGGCAAGGTGCCCGAACCCAGATATGACATATGAGTAGGTGATAAGCTGTGGTCCGCTCCCAGTCTGGGCGTGGTCGAGACCGAGGTGCCGAACTGAGAGCCACTCCTGGAGGCTGCCTCCGGCCACCGCTCGACTACCCACGCACATGGCCGGTCCTGTGGCTTGCCTGGACTCGCTCAGAAGCCTCAATTCGCGCACACCTTTGCTCTCTGGCTCCCGCGAGTGCGTTTAGGCCACTCAAAGCAGGCGACGCCGAGCACCCGCAACGCATCTCGCTGGGGCGCCACCTATCGACCCGACTGATTGGCAGCATCAAAGCCGACCCCATGACGGTCCTTCAGCCCCATGAGACAGGCAGTTTCGCCCTGATCTCGGTCCAAGACGGCCAACGCCGTGTCCGGCACCTGCTGGCTGCTTCACGGGGATGCCCCCCCCGGACACATGCTGCAGCCCCGAGTGGATGTATTGGTCGTTTGTGGGTCCCACAAGACTACTCTAGTAGGGGCCGGGCGCTGGAGCGTCGGCGGTACACCTGTGCAGATGTTGCACGGGTGAAATGGCTCCTCGTACAGGGTAGGAGGCAGGTGGTGGGTTTGAGTGTCGTGAGTGCTTGCAGCTGCGAGTGCAGCACCGTTTGTGACTCCCATGGATACAGTTGGGTGGGCCACGGTGCTGGGGGGCGGTCCGGTGCGCCACAACAGCCTCCCCGGCTGACCCCCATCCAGTTCGGCACCTCCATCCTGACCGTGGAACCCCAACCTCAACCGGTCATATCTCGGGCGGACTGGCACCTCAGGAGCTCATCCTGGGCGGTTTGGGGGAGTCTTGGGGGTGTACTTGAAGGTGGTAAACAGAGTTTTGCACCGCAGCTTAACCGAGGGGCGTGCTGAGCACCGTGAAAACAGCGGACCACAGCTTATGGCACAGCCACGCGGCGTTCGAGTTGGCCTCTGCCTCGCCCTCCTCTGCTACCTCCCCTCCTCTGCCAGCCTCGCGCTCCCAGAGGCCTTCCGTCGGGCGCGGGCGCGGAACGCCCGGCTGCAGCGCAGCGCAAGCTCGCCGGCGCCGCGGCCGCCGCCGTCGGCTGCTCCTCTCGCGTCGGGCGAGGTGGCGCTGCCGCCGTCGCTCGAGGAGCGGCTCTCCTCCGCGCTCGGCGTCCGCAGCCTCAACCCGCTCCAGCGACTGGCGCTGCCCCACGCGCTCGGCGGCGGCGACACTCTCGTCCACGCAGAGACGGGCGCAGGCAAGACACTGTGCTTTGCGCTGCCCATCGCCGCCTCGCTCGCCGCCGCCGACGGAGCCGCCTCCTCGCCGGCAGCCTGCGACGGCTCGGTGCTCTGCTCGCGCCCTCGGAGGACGCGCCCGGCAATCCCTCGAGAGCCAACCCCGGACCCGCCCGACAGGTGCACGCGCTTGTGCTGAGCCCGACGCTCGAGCTGTGCGCGCAGACGGCGGCGGTGCTCAACGCCCTCCTCCCGGGCTGCGCCGCTGTCGTGGCGACCGACGAGGCCGCGCGGCTCCTCTCCGGAGGGGCCGCCGCCTCCGCCCTCGCCGGCGCCCGCGTGCTGGTGTCGCCTGCCTCGCTCGCCCTCGCGCTGCTCCCCGCATCTGAGGCGCCGGCCGGCGGAGGGCGGCGCGCGAGCGGCGCGGCGATGAGGGCCGACGCCGGCCGGTCGCGCGGCGCCGGCCGGAGAGGCGGTGGTGGCGGCCGGCGGCCGGCGGCCGGCGGGAGGGGAGGCGGCGGGAGGCGGTTCGAGGAGGGCGGAGAGGGCGGCGCAGTGACGGCGGTGCGAAGCCGCTCGCTGGAGCCGGGCGGGCTGCTCGGCTCGCTTCGCCTGCTCGTCCTCGACGAGGCGCGGCCGTCCCTCCCGCACACCCGTTCTGCGACACCCTCCCCTTGAGAAGAGAGGCTGGAGCGGGCCCGCCCTTGTGAGACGCCGCCTCCCTCCAGCCCTCCCCCCCCCTTCTCGGCGGCAGGCCGACGCGCTGCTCGGCACGCTCGGCAAGTACGCGACGCAGAGGCAGAAGGAGTCGCGCAGCCGCCACCCCAAGCCCGCCGCTCTCGTCGTCAAGTCGCTCTTCACCGCCGCCGCCTCCAGACCACCCTCCTCCGGCACCCTCCAGCTGCTCGGCGCCTCGGCCACCGTCGGACGTCCGCTCCGCCGCGAGCTGCAGGCCCTCTCCGGCCGCTCGCTCGCGGTGGCGCAGCTCCCCTCCTCTCCGCCTGGCGCAGACATCGGCGCGCCCTCCGCCTCGCCGGCCGGCTCCTCGCGGCAAGCGGCCTCGTCCGCGCGGGCGGTGGGGCTGCCGTCGACGCTCGAGCTCGCCGTGCTCACTTGCGAGGGGGACAACACCGCGCTCGCCCTCCAGCGCGCCCTCGGCGCGGCCGGCGAGGGCGCCGCCCTCGTCTTCGTCCCCGACGGCCGCCCGGTCGGTCCGGAGCTGCGGCTGCTCCGCCAGTGCGGGCTCCCCGAGGCGGAGTCTCTTGTCGACTACCTCGCTCGCCGAGCGGGGGGCGGAGGCGCGGAGGGCGGAGGCGCGGGGGGCGGAGGCGCGGGGGGCGGTGGCGCGCCGCTGCGGCTCGTGGCGTCGCCTCGCTCGGCGCGCGGGCTCGACCTACCCGAGGTGAGCCTAGTCGTCATCCTCGGCCTGCCCGCCTCGGCCGACACGCTGCTCCACCTGGCGGGCCGCACGGCGCGGCAGGGCGCGGCGGGGCGCGTGGTGCTCATCGCCACGCCCGACGAGGCGGCGGGGCGGCTGGGCGTGCTCGGCGCGCAGCTGGGCGTCGACCTCCGCGCGCGCTCCTCTGCGGTGCGGGAGCGCGACGAGGAGTGGGCCCGCACTTGGGCGGTGCACCAGCAGGTCGTCCAGGCGGAGAGAAAGTACAACAACTGAAGGGTACGCACTGGAGGCGGAGAATTCGATTGGAGGAGAGAGAGGGCGGGCCGCCGGGGGCGTGTGTGGCTTGGGCGGAGGGGCGGGGTGCAGCTCCTTTCAACGCACAACGGTCAGACTCACGTCCTTGTGGAGAAGAGGTATGAGCGTATGATTAGAAAGAAACCGAAAGAAATTTAGGGACGCGGCCCACGATCCACGATGCTGTGGGTCGATGGGAGCGGGTCGGCTCTCGGCACCGCGCACAGACATTGCAACATGCAACAAGGCGTTCTTGCAGAACTTGCGCTACTTGGACCGCAACTTGAAAGAAAGAAAGAAAGAAAATAGACAGCCCAAGGGAGGGATGGGAGGACGGCACGCCGCCACCACAACTATCAACTTGGTTGGTCTTGCGGAGATGGAGTCGCGTCTATTTTTTTCAAAAGCGAAAAGGGCGTAAGGTACCCCCTATTTGATAGTTTTTCGCTTCGCTGCGCGGCCTGGGGATGGGTAGGTAGGTATCTCGTTTTGGCGCGAGTCAGTGTACAGACCCCCTATCCTGGTAGGAGCCGGAACCCAGAGTTGCCCATACACACATGGTCAGCACCGACGCGCCTACCGCCCACACGCCTTGCGACACACAGCTCACGCCTCGCGTCCCGTCACGACCCCGCTTTAGTCGGCGCTCCTCAACTTCCAGTCCTTTCTCACCTGCGTCCTGCTCTTCATCTGCACGTCCACGTACCTCAAATCGCAACGGCCCTCAATGTTTAGAGAAAAGAAGCCAGGGTGCGTGTAGCGACCACCGCGCCGCCCGCCAGCGGCACGCCGCGTCACCAGCTGTCCACGCGCGCTGGCAGGCTCTTCTCACTCGTCTACAAGGGCGCTGTCATTGGTGCGCAATCGCGCCGTGCACGCAGCTGCACCCACCCTCACCCGACCCCGCCGCGTGGTGTAGGCACGAGGTTAAGTCCTTGGGTATCTGCTAGCTGTCTGCTCATGGCCGCATGGACTCTCTTCTTCTGACGCACCGCCAACCTTCGTGGGCCGCGTCTCTCTTCACTCTTGCATTTACGCATTACGGCGCGGTTCTTTTGGGTTTAGCTTTGAGAGTAAGGGCTAAGGCGCGCGGCGCGTTGATGTCGACTGTAAAATCGCCCAAAAAACGAGCCGCAGGCTGTGTTCCCGCTGCGCCCACTCGCCGAATTGCCGGTCCATACGAAACATAACTGATAACACGTACAGTAACACACGCGTCCTCACGGCCTGGGGTGCTGCGGGTCACACGCAGAGCGGGACGGGGCGGGGGGGCACAACAGCTCAAGACAGGCGGGTGTCGGGTCGTCGGGTCGGCGCGTGGCTCTCGCCCTCGGCCTCCGTCCCACGGGCCAGACACAGGGCCCCACACCCGCACAGCTCTCCCCGTCTCGCCACTCGCTCCACCGTCTAGAGGCGCCCGGGTTGCGCTCAGAGCTCGTCGTGCAAAGCGCGCTTCATCGCGGCGTTCTCGCGCCGCAGCATCTCGAGCTCGGAGGCGCCTCCCATGCCGCCGCCGCCCATCCCCATGCCGCCGGCCATGCCCGCCATCTGCTGCTGCGCCTGCGCCATCTGCTCGGGCGTCACCTCGAGGCCCATCGAGCGCGCCATCGCCGCCATGTCGGAGGGTGCCATCGAGGCGACCTTGTCCTTGACGCCTGCCATCATCTGCTGCGCCTGCGCCTTGAAGGCCGGGTCCGCCATCAGCGCCTCCACCTCCTTGCGCGTGTTTGGGTCCTTCATCATCTCCATCACTCCCTGCATCACGCTCGGGTCGCGCGCCGCCTGCTGCAGGTTGGCCATGCCCAGCTCCGCCGTGTTGAGCTCGCCCGCCTTGTGCCGGTCCGCGTTCCGCAGCTCCCACTCCGACGCATCGCCCATCGCCGCAGCGCCGCCCATCGCCGCCGCGCCGCCCGGAACCTGGCCCATCGCGGTGGCGGTCGCCATGCCGGGCACCGGGTTGCCCTGGGCGTCGAGCATCCCGCGCGCCTTGGCCTTGGCCTCGAGCTCGGCGAGCTTGGCCTTGGCGGCCTTCATGTACTGCGGGTCCTTGAGCATCTCTGCCGCCTTGGCCATCACCTCGGGGTCCTGCGGGCGGGCGGCGGGAGGTGCGGCTTACGCTCCCTGCCTCTCTCGCCGCCTGTCGCGGCGGCGGGCGCAGGAGCGGAGCGGCGCCCACCTTCATGCCCTGCATCACCTCCTGCATCTTGTCGGGGTTGCGGCTGAGCTGCTCCCAGCCGGCCATCGCGATGTCGACGTCCGAGGGCGGCGGCGTGGCGTCAGCGATGCCGGACGCCTCGCCCTGCATCTTGTTGCGGCGGCCGAACTGGGCTTCGGCCGCGAGCGGTGCGCAGATCAGGGCGACGCAGGTGAGGAGGCGGGCCATCGTTGCTTCAGGTCGAAGGCTATAGGCGCCACCAGATCGTGATCGAAGCGGAGTGAAATGGCTCGGCAAAAAATGAAGCAAGGCCGAGGGCGGAGGGTGTGTGTGTGGGGGGGGGGTATCGTCACATCGATGGCGCGGTGGCGAACGCGCCGGTGTCTTTGTCAAGCCCATCGGCCGCTCACACATTTTACCCTCTCGATCGGAGGTTCGGAGCCCACACATTTCACCCTCGATCAGGGTTCAGGGAACCTCGAGTGCGTGGCGACGTTCGCCGCTGCGGCGCGCCTCTCCTTGAGCGCCTGCGCGGCGCACTGCGCGTCGTGGATGATGTCGGCGTTGGTCAACCCAAATGCGCGGCAGGAGGGGCAGAGTTTGTTGCCGAGGACCTTGACGCACCCGACGTCGAGGCGGAGGGGTCCGCCGACATCGCCGCTCGCGTAGACGTTGGGCAGGACCGGGAGGTTGCAGACGAGGTTCTCGTTCTTCACCTTGAAGAGGATCGAGCCGTCCTTCTCGTCCGACTTCGTGCCCAGGAAGGAGTGGTATCCCTCCTGGATGGAGACCATGTTGCCGAAGTGCTTCTCCAAGAGGGGGGCGAAGTGCTCGATCTGGGCCGCGGTGTCGATGGCGCCGCGCGTGCGTATGGCGAGGAGGCCGTCTGAGTCCGTGGTCGCCTGGGTCTCGCGCGCCTCCGCCTGCTTGCCCCACACGGTGGCGTCGAGAGCGGCGAAGGTGATGGTGATGTTGTCTGGCGCTGGGAGCTGTAGGACGCCACCGCCGGTGTACTGCTCGAGGAAGGCGCGTGCCTCGCTCTCGCCGCTGAAGGCGACGCAGATGGCGCGCGACGTGCCGATGATGGGCACGCTGATCGCGCTTGCCTGCTGCGCCTCGCCGCCTGGTGTCTTCTTGATCAATTGGCGCACCTCGGTGACGAGCGCCGTCTTGTTCTGGATGTCCGGGATGTGCGAGCCGTCGCGCGCCGCGAGCGCGACGTGCAGCAGGCGCTTCGTGCCGCGGTCGGTGCCGGCGGCCGCCGCAGCGGCCATCTGTGCAGCGTCCACCATAATGGTGTCGCCTTCTTTGGCGTCGTCGTCGTTGACGCGCGCGCTCGCGAGCTCGCCGTCGAGGCGGCGCTTCACGCCGAGTCTCTGGCCATCATCGGCCTCTTGCGCGCCGTCGCGGCCGCGCGCCGCGCCCTCGGCAGCGGCAGCGTTGAGCACCGGCGGCGGCAGGCCGGCCGAAGCGAGCGCCATTCAAGTGAAGCGCCGAAAGAAAACAAGGGATTTTAAAGATATAGAGCGGTGGAAAATTCTTTGTGGCCTTCGCTGAACCTCCCACAGCTGGTGCCACGAGCAGGGGCAGTGCGTCCCACGGCGGCTGAGCTCGCGCACGCGCCGCCAGGTATGCTGAGGCAAAGAGATTCCCTCCTCGCTCCGCCGAGGCTGCTGCTGATCGTGTTCGCCAGCCTGCTCGCGACCGCCGCTGGCGCCTGGTCCGCGCACGCCGGGCAGCGGCAGCAGCCGTGGCCGCGCCAGGCGAGCCGCTCGGCGACGCCTTCGGCGCTCGCTGCGCCGCCGCACGCGTGGGGCCGCCAGCGCGGGAGCGCCGCGGCCGCTGGGAGCGCCGCCACGCCGCGGGCGCCGAGAGCCGGGCGCGTCTCCATGCAGGAGACGGACCTCTACCAGGCGCTGGGCGTGGCGCGGAATGCAAACGACGGCGACATCAAGCGCGCGTACCGCTCCGCGGCGCGCAAGTACCACCCGGACGTCAACCCGTCGGACGACGCCAAGGAGAAGTTCCAGACCATCAACGAGGCGTACCAGGTGCTCTCCAACCCCGAGATGCGGCAGCGGTACGACCAGTTCGGGATGGCGGGCATCAAGGGCGCCGCGGGCGCGCCAAACATGCAGGACTTTGACCTCGGCGACATCTTCGAGTCCTTCTTTGGCGGCTCGCCGGGCGGCGGCGGCGGCCGCGCGCGCCAGAACCGGCCGACGCAGGGCGACGACCTCCGCTTCGACCTCGAGCTCGACTTCAAGACGGCTCTCTTCGGCGGCGAGAAGAAGATCCGCATCACGCAGCTCGAGGCGTGCGCGACGTGCGCGGGCTCGGGAGTCGCGCCCGGGGCGTCGGTGCGCCGGCCCCCTCCCCGCCCGCCGCCCAGGAAGGGGCGCTCGAGCCGGGCTCCCTCGGCACGCCTCCGGGCGGCACGCCTCGGGACCCCCCCCCCCCCTACCCCTCACCCCTCTTAACCCACTCTCCCTGACCCCCCCCCCCCCCCAACGCCCACCCTCTCCGCCGCGACTCCCAGGTGACGACTTGTACAACCTGCGGCGGCCGCGGAGTGGTGATGCAGACGGCGCGCCCGCTCCGGCCGTTATCCCCGCCCCGCCCCCTGCGGCAAAGCTGACCCCTCCCCTCCCCTGCCCCACAGGTCAACACCATCCTCGGCAGGATGCAGCAGCAGTCGCGCTGCCCCACCTGCGGCGGCTCGGGCTCGGTGCCGCTCTCTCTCCCCGCCCCTCCCCCCCGCTCGCCAGCTCAAGAGCCTCCGCCTCCGCGCAGGTGGTCGAAAAGTACTGCGGCTCGTGCGACGGGCGAGGCACAAACAAGCGCTCCAAGCAGCTCACCGTCACGATCCCTCCCGGCGTCGAGAACGGCAACCGGCTGCGCGTGCGCGGCGAGGGCGACGCGGGGCCAAAGGGCGGCCCCTCCGGAGACCTGTATGTCTTCCTCTCGGTCTCGCCGAGCAACGGCTTCCGGCGCGAGGGCATGGACATCTTTTCCGAGGCGCGCCGCCCCGCCGCCGCCCCGCCGCCGCCGTTGTCTTGCCGCCGCCGGCTTTGGCTGTGCGCGGTAGAGGCTGGCCCGCCCCCCTCCCCTCGCAGGTCAGCGTCTCGTACCTCGACGCCATCCTCGGCTCGACTCTCAAGATAGACACCGTGGACGGCTCGCCCGTCGACGTGGCGCTGCCGGCGGGGACGCAGCCGGGCGCGACGCTCCGGCTCGAGGGCAAGGGCGCGCCCAAGCTCAACAACCTCAACGTGCGCGGCTCACACTTCATCAAGGTCAACGTACAGATCCCAAAGTCCCTCTCTACGAAGGAGAAGGAGCTGGTCACAAAGCTGCGCGCCGAGTCTCGGTAGGCCGCCGTCGCGGGGTAGGAACTAGGTGGGTGCCGGGGTGAGGAGAGTGGGGGCGAGAGAGAGGGCAGCGGAGGGTGCTTTCGTGCCAGACACGGGGCGAGGGGGGGTGGTGCGATCGTCACCTCTCTACGAGCCGCCGCTGGCGCGGCGTGGCGCGCGGTGTCGGCGGTGGCTTGCAGTCCTCCCTCTCCAGCACTCACTCGCTGTCGCTCCCTGTCTGGGTGCTTTTCTCTCGTTCTCGATTCTCTCGATCTCGTCTCTCCTATCTGTATTTGGCACAGAGAATTTTTTCGTCCGCAGTCCCGCTATATACCCACCAATCATCGATGATCTACAGAACACACTAATCGAGCGAGCAGAGTCTTGAGTCTTCACCTCAGCAGACCTACACCAGTCAACACCCGCGCCGCGGTGCGCGGATGACGACGACACTCGACACCAGCATTGACGCGTTGAGCAGGACACACCAGTAACGCACCGGCCAGACGGGGCAAGAGCGAGGACACATGCACAAATTCTCACTTCTTCGCCTCTGGCTCTGCCCTCTATGACATGGGGGAGTTCGGGGGGGGGGGGGGGGGGGAAGGCCCTGGCTAGCGGCTTGCCTCACCACTGCTCGGCCCCGTCCTCTATCGACTCGTCGTGTACGAGCAGCGACGCGGAGAGCGCACCGCCCGCGTGCGGCGAGAAAGGCGGCACGTGCAGCGCGCCGAGGAAGCGAGAGGCGATGAACTTGCGCGCCAGCGGCGCGAATCGGCGCGGCTCGGCCTCGGCGTCCTCGTAGTGGGCGTCGAGCGACGCGCCGTACTCTTGGAGCGCCTGGCGCGAGAGGTGGCCGAGCTCGCGGTGCGCGATGGCATGCTGCGCGCGCAGCAGCTCCAGCGGCCGCGAGAGGCGCGCCGCGCTGTAGCCCGTGGCCTGCGCCATGAAGGGCGTCCAGTACGCCACCGCCTCGCTTGCGGCGCCCGGCGAGCCGTCCGTCCAGCGGCCGGTGCGCAGGCAGGCGGCGGCGAGGCAGAGCGCCGCCGAGGCGACGAGCGAGGGGCGGAGGGGGGCGCACTCGGCGATGAGGAGCGAGAGCTCGCAGAGGTACTGGGCGAGCATCGCAACCTGGCGAGGGGAGCCGTGGGGTGGGGCGGAGAGCTGCCCCGGCGCGTCGGCGGGCACCGAGGGGGGGTGGGGGGGGGGGGGGCGTGGCGCCTGGCGCGAGAGGCCTCGGTGGACCGAGAAGAGGTCGGGCCACGAGAGGCGCGCGAGCGCGCAGAAGAGGCAGTCGACGGCGGTGGGGTGGGCAAAGTCGAAGTGGAGGGCGACGCACAGGGAGAGCTCCGCCTCGAGCAGCTGCGCCGTCGAGTGCTCGTCGCGGCAGTAGTGCGTCAGCTGCTCGACTGTGTGCGTCTCGACCTCTTGGAACTTGCAGGCGAGCAGCAACGCGGCCGCCGCGCTCACGCGCAGCCGGCGTTCGTCCAGAGCGCCGCTCGGCGCGGCGGACACCGCGCCGGCCGCGCCCTCGTCGTAGAGCTGCGCGCGCGGCGCGACGGCGAGGTAGCGGTCGAGGACGGTGACGGCGAGGTGGACGGTCCTGTCTGAGCGGCAAAACTCGCACGCGGCGCCGAGCAGCCACGCGACCGCCTCGCTGCGCGCCTCGTCGGCCGCGTCGCCGTGGCGGCGCCAAATGGCGGCGCCCTCCTCGAGCCGCAGCGCCGTCGCCTGCTCCTCCTCCCGCGCGCGCCACGCGCGCCACACGACGCCGCCGTCGCCGCTCAGCAGCGGCTGCGACGGCGTCCCGAAGAGGCCTCCGCCGCCCGAGGGGAGGGAGCGCTCGGTGGCGGCGGTGGCGGGCGCGCGCGGGCGCGAGGGCGTCTTGAGACCGGAGGGCGAGCCGGACCCGTGCAGCGGCTCCGGCGTCTCCGGCCGCGCTGGCGGCTGCGCGGTGAAGAAGGGGTGCTCGAGCGCGCCGGCGGCGGAGATCCGCTCGGTCGGGTCGAGGGCGAGCATGCGGCTGAGGAGGTCGGCGGCGTCCGGCTGGGCGAGCAGCGGGGCGAGCGCGGGGAAGCGCGCCCAGTCGCGCGGCGGCATGTTCGGGAAGAGCTCGTTGTAGTGCGGCAGCGCCTCGACGCCGCGCCACGGCGTCGCCTTTGCCGCGCCGGGCGTGCCGAGCACCTCGAAGATCTTGAAGAGCTGTCCGATGTCCGAGTCGCCGACGAAGAGCATCTGTCCCGACGCCGCCTCGGCGAAGACGCAGCCCGCCGCCCACACGTCGATGGCCGTCGTGTAGTGCGTCGAGCCGAGCAGGATCTCGGGCGCGCGGTACGGCTGCGTCACCACCGTCGGCGACGAGGCGCCGAGCACGTGCGCCGCGCCGTACAGGGCGCCGCCCCCGCCGCCGGTGGCGGTGGTGCCGCCGCCGCCGGCGGCGGAGGACGGGCCGAGCAGCCAGCGCACCGAGTTGAAGTCGGAGATGCGCACGTTCCACCGCTCCCCCGGCAGCGCGCCGCCGGCGCGCCCGTGCGGCGCGGCTGCGCCGCCCGCCTCCTCGAGCATGATGTACTTTGGCTTGAGGTTGCGGTGGGTGATGCCCTGCGCGTGGCAGTGCGCGAGCGCCTGCAGCACCTGCCGCAGCACGCAGCGCGCGTCCTCCATCGCCACCCGCCCCGCCTTGAGCAGCACCTCGAGCGGCGTGCCCACATCGCCGTAAAAAAGCTGCAGCTGGTTGCGGGGCACGTCGACGTTGACGAGGAGCAGCGGCACCACGGTCGGGTGGTGCAGCTGCTGCAGGCAGCTGATGGAGCGCAGCAGCCGGTACGAGACGCCCTCGCCCGCCTCGACGTAGTCGAGGTCGACGGAGCGGCAGAGGAGCCGGACGCGGCCGAGCTTGCGCTCGCACTTTGCCCACGAGCCGGTGTGGTCGACGCGCGGCTGGCTGAGCAGCCGGAAGTGGCCCTCGTGGCCCTCGTGGCTCAGCAGCCGGTCCGTGTCGATCGAGGAGAAGCGCGTGCGCTGCCAGAGCGCCGGGTCCTGCGCGACGCGCCGCCACCGGCTGCTCACCCCCGCGTTGCTGAGCGTGTCCTCGACGTCGAGCGAGCGGAAGACCTCGACGAGGCACTCGTCGGGGAGCGACCCGATGCCCGCCGGCTCGGCCGGACCGGGCCGCCGCGAGGAGCGCCGAGTCTTCATGCGCCGACTGCCGTGAGCTCAAGCGACCGCGCGCGATTTTTTTTGTGTGGGTATAGACGCTTGCTGGAGTGCTCTCTACTGCCGCGGCGTCCCTGTCGGTTCGGAGGCGCCCGGCGGCCGCGCGCTTGGTGCCGACGTCGACCGGCTGCTCTCGCGGCGCCGAGGCGTGCGTGCCGCTTCGGTCACGTCACGCGCGCTGCGAGGTGTCTTTTGGCATGTGAGCGCTTGGCATAGACGCCAGGAAGCTCGCCTTCCTTGGCTTGCCTGCGGCCGCGGGCGTGCGGGCGGGCACGCCAGGCTCGGCGACGCTCCGCGCGGGTCTTCGAGCTCGGGGCCCGCGACGAGCGAGCATGGCTCGTCGCTCGACGGGAGCCTGCCCAGCATGCTCTCGGCACTCTGTACAGCCTCGACAAGGTGTCTGGGAAGGCCGACAGGGCCAGGGCGGGCCGCCTCGTGCGCGATGGCGCGCTGAATAGTACCATGACTACGAGCTCTCGATCGGGTCGCCGGCAGCGGGCTTGCGCGGCGCGCCGCTCGACGGCAGGCTGCTCTCCAACCTTTCAACAGTGTCTTTTACCTCGCTCCTCTCGCTGCAACCGCCTGTGCGGGGGCCGGCGCCGGCCGCCTCGCTTCGCCAGCGCTGCCTACGCCTACGACACGCGCATCGGCTCGCCGCCCGCGTCGCCTGCGGCGGGCCAGCGTGGCGCGCCGCTCGTCGGGAGCGTGCTCAGCAGGCTGTGCAGCGCAGCCTGACTCACTCAGAGCGCCGCTGATGCGGCGTGGGGCCGCCGGCGTGGCTGCTGCCGCGCACGCTGCGCTGTGGGCCTCCAGTGGGCCTCACCATCGTGTCCTCGCCGCGTTGCCGACGCCACTTGCCGCTCTCGGCTGCCCTGCCCTTCCCTGCCATCGCGCAAACAAACATACACACACACACACACACACACACACACACACACACACACACACACACACACACACACACACACACACACACACACACATTATTAATGATCGAGTATTAATTATTAATTATGAATCGTCGGGCGGCGGCGCGGCGCGGCGGCGGGCGGCGCGAGGCGGCTGCGCGGCGAGGCAGCGGGCGACGCAGGGCGGGGCGGCGCGGCGGCGGGTGGTATAATTACTTATTAATTGATTAATAATGAATTAATAATCATTGGGCGGCGGCGCGGCGCGGCGGCGGGCGGCGCGGAGCGGGGCGGCGCGACCATCTGTACTGACGGGGCCTCTGGTCTTTGATGCGGCGCAATGGTCGCGCCGCCCTCGACTCAAGGGGCTGCCTTCCACCCGTAGTTGCTCAGGACGGGGGAGGGGGGGGGGCCTCCTGTTCCTCGCGGAACGGGAGCAGGCCCCTCCTTGCCCGGTCTGCGAGGCAGGGCGGTGGTCGTGCCATCGTCGCTTCGTACGCGCAACCACCAAGCCGCAACCGTCGCCGGCGCGCGACACGTTCCCGTAGGCCGGACTGTCCTCGTCGAGAGTGTGTGCCGCCAAGGCGGGACACACTCAGGGACGGTGCCGACGTGACGCGGCTCGAAGGGTGTGGCTCCGCAGCGCGGCTGGCACTCGTCGCAGAGGCCTCACCTTCGAAAAGTCGGGCATGGCTCCCACGCTTCATTAGGTGCAGGTGTACACCTTGTACCGACACAGAGGTAGGCGCGCAGCGCCCACACCCTCTACCTAGGTGTGTGAGTGAGTGCTATACCTTAGCGCACCTTATACCGAGGTACCCTCCACATGTCCACACCGGTACCTGGGGTACTCTCGAGACGTTCACACCGGCGGTGCGCGCGAATAAGGTGTGCACCGCCCGTCGCGCGAAACGCAACACACAGCTCTCATGGCGCCCAAGAAGCCCACCTCCACGCAGAACACGACGCTCCAGACCATGGGCATGGACGTGATCAAGCAGTACCCGGGCCCGCTGACAGTCTCGAGGGCCGTCAAGCGCTAGCCGTCAAGAGGTGGACGTCTCGGCTCCCGGGCAAGCACTTACCGCACCTCACCGGCGCGGAGCAGAACGCGTTGTACGCGGGCACGGCCGTCGAGTTCACGGTGAAGTACGGCAACGTCTCCGCCCCCTCGGCTGCACCGTCCTCCAACTCGCCGGACCCCCATCGAGCTCCGACGCTCTGCCGCTTCGGCTGCGCCATCCTCGGGCTCGGCCAGGCCGCCGACCCACCCTCCGCCGACCCGCTCCATGACGTCGACATGTCGCTGCTCCAACGCGCCAGTGTTCTCCAGAATGCTGCTATGAGCGGAGTAGCGTGTCGGGCGGGGCCGTCGGGAGGGGGCGAGCGTGTGTCCGGCGAGGCGCCCACATACCTCACCCGTACCTTTACCGAGGTAGCGCGCGGTGTCCTATACCTCCACCTTAGGTAAGTGGCCCATGTCTGTACCTTACTGTACCTCTACCTAAGTGTGCCGGCCAGCGCCCACACCGGCACCGGGGGTAGGGTCAGAGGGACTGCACCCAAGGTGTTGAGGTGAGCACCTAATGTAGTGTGGCATGGCTCCACCCGCAACTTTCTCGCTAACAGCGCGCACCGCCGAGCCTGCGGCGGGCGCGCTGCGGCCGCACGTCTAACTTCGTCATAGTGCCACGACGTGCGGCCTAGATTTAGCCCACGCGCCTCAGCTCGCAAACACTCCCCCATTGAATTGTCACTGCCCGTGAGTGCCGGAGATAGGGCTAGCAGTAGGCCGCTAGCCGGTGAAGAGAGCGTCCATAGACACCTCACTAGACCCCCCACACGGTCTCGTCCGTGCCTCGCCGGCCGGCGAGATTGCTAGAGGTGGAGCAAACTGCTCTAGCCTTGCATGTCACTTCCTGTCGTCTGTTGTTTGTTGTGCCCTTGTTTGTTCTCTTGGCACCTTGGAGTGCTGGGGGGGGCGACAGGGAGGATGTGGCCTTGAGATTTGTGTACGCCAACTCAGGGTGTGTGGCAGCCAGCTGGCTGTGTGTCTTGTGAGCCTGTTTGTGTCTGTGTGTCGCTCGTGCGTGCCGTCATCATCTGTCCAGCGTCCACCCATACCGCGTTCTGGTGTCCAGCCCGAGCCTGGCTGTTCTTCACCTTTCTACCTACCTACCTTGGTTCTGCTGTTTTAGGTATGTTGTTGTGCTGTTGTTTGTGGCACCTTGGCACCTTGGCAACTTGGGTGCGGGGGGGAGCGGGGGGGGGGGGGGACGTGGCACCGAGTGACGTAATGCCGTACGCTCCCTCGGGATGTGTGTGGCAGCTGGCACGCTGGCAGCCCAGCTGGCGGAGTGTTTCTGACTTTTTGTGTCTGTGAGTCGCTCGAGCGTGCCGTCATCTCGCGGGCGAGCATTCTTGAGCTCGTGTTTCTTGTGGTGCGCGCGATCGGCCCGGGCGACTGCCACCTGCGACGACATCCAGGCACGATGATCAACCTCCTCGCCAACCCCGGGTTCGAGGACGGCGTCGGCGGCGGCTGGGCGGCTGGCTGCGCGGCGGCCGGCTGCATCCGGCCGGCGCCGAGCACCGTGGCGCGCAGCGGCAGGGCGTCGGCGCTGCTGCGTGCATCGCCCAACCGCTGGGAGCTGTCCTGGCTCCGGCAGCGCGTGCCGCTCGCCCAGCCGTGCAGGCTTCGCTTCAGCGCCTTCGTGCGCGCCGCCGACGGCACCGACGGCCTCCCGGCGGCCGAGCTGCAGCTCGCCGTACGCTCCGCCGCCGCCGACGCGCCGTTGTGCCGCCTCGAGCGGCGGTGGCCCGCACGCGCGTGGGAGCAGCTCGTTCTCGACTGCCCGCTGCCGAGCGCCGCCACCGATGCGGAGGCGTCGATCGAGCTGGTCTCGGTGCGGTCCGACGCGGCGGCGCTCGTGGACGAGGCGCGGCTGTGGTGCGCTAGCGAGGGCGAGGAGGAGGCGGGCGGGAAAGACGGTGGCGCGGGCGCGGCCTCGTCCGCAGCGGCCGTGCCGAGGCTGCTGCACTTCATCTTTGGCCTCTCCGCCGACTTTGGCGGCAAGCCCTTTGGGCTCGTCCACCACCTCGTCATCGCCGCCGCGCAGCACGCCGCGGCGCCCGTCGCAACCTACTTTTACTACGCGCATGAGCCGAGCGGCGAGTGGTGGGAGGCGGCCAAGCCCTCCCTCGCGCTGCGCAAGGTCGTGGCGCCGACGAGCGTCTTTGGGCGCCCCGTCCGCAAGTTTGCGCACCAGGCCGACGTCCTCCGCCTCGAGGCGTCCTCTCGCCGCCCCGCCTCGCCGCCCCGCGCGTCCTCCCTCCGCCGGCCCTCTCCCTCCGCCGGCCCTCTCCCTGCCCCGAGCCGTCTCTCCGAGGCGTGCGCCAGGTGCTGCTCTCCTTCGGCGGCATCTACCTCGACCTCGACGTCCTCCTCCTGCGGCCGCTCGCGCCGCTCCTCTCTGCGGCGGCGCCGGGCCAGGCCACCACACCCACCCGTCCACCACCACCGTCCACCACCCGTCCACCACCACCGTCCACCACCCGTCCACCACCCGTCCACCACCACCGTCCACCACCCGTCCACCACCCGTCCCACCACCCGTCCACCACCCGTCCACCACCCGTCCCACCACCCGTCCACCACCCGTCCACCACCCGTCTACCACCCGTCCCACCACCCGTCCACCACCCGTCCACCACCCGTCCACCACCCGTCCGCGACCCGCCCCGCAGGCCACGCTCGCGCACGAGGGGGTCGGCGGCTCCATCGGCGTCGGCAACGCCCTCATGCTCACGCCGCGCAACCACTCCTTCTTCCGCGAGTGGTACGAGGCGTACCGCGCCTTTTCGGACGCGGTCTGGAACGGCTTCTCCGTCCGGCTGCCGTCGCGGCTCGCGGCGGCGGCGCCCTCCTCAGTGCGGCTGCTACATCCCTGCAGGAGCCTTCCACGAGCCTTCTCGGAACCTTCCTATAGGCGCCCTCCTCGGTGCGGGTGCTCGCGTACGGCGCCTTTTACTGGCCGCCGTGGAACCCGTGGGGGGTGGCTCAGCTCTACCGGAGCGAGCGGTGCTTGCTGCGCGGAGGGTGCGCCGAGGGAGGAGCAGCCCCGCACCCTGACGCCTCACCCTGCCCCCTCACCCTGCCCCCTCACCAACCATGACCAGAACCACGCTCCCTACCTCCTGGCCCTCCCCCCCTGGCGCCAGGTACGCCGTACACTTGTGGGAGACCAAGGTGTGGCGTTCGCTCCTCTCCTCGCTCTCGCCCGCCAAGCTCGAGGCGCACGGCTCGTGCTTCGCAAAGGCGGCGCTCGCCGAACCCGAACCCAACCCTGACCCAGACCCAGTCCCTTACCCGAGGCGCTCGCCGCGCTCCGCTCCCCGAGACAGGTACAGGTACAGGCATCAGGTCCAGGTCAGGTCTCTGACCCGACCCTGGCCCGTCCCACAGGCGGCGCTCGCCGTGCTGCGCGGGACCTTCAACTTCACTCCGGCGACGCTCCGCCCCGGCGAGCGAGCAGAGGAGTCGCTCACGGCGCGCGCCCCGCCCCCCTCCGGCCCTGCCCCACCCGGCCTTTGCCCAATCAGCTCTCTCGCCCACCCACCCCCCCTCTCCCCCGCCTTCTCGACGCCCGCACTCCCCCCTCCCGCCCCGCGCAGGTGTCGCTGTCCCGACCGCTCGCCGAGCTGCTGCTCACTCCGGCCGACGGCGCCGTGGCGTCGGCTGCGGGCGGCGGGCAGCCTTGCGGCGACGACGCGGGCGAGGCGTGCGCGGGGTGGGCAGGCGCTGGCGAATGCAGCCGCAACCCGGGCTTCATGGAGCGCTCTTGCCGCCGCTCGTGCGGTCTGTGCGGTGGCGGGTCCGCCGCCGGCGGAAATACAACGGTGAACTCATGGTGAAACTCAAGAGTGTGCTCAGCGAGGTGGCCGCGAGCCGTGGAGCAACCCTAATTATGTTGCCTAAACGGAAATCTCCCGTTGAATCTCCCCGCCGGATGGCTCGCGGCGGAGAAATCATTATTGAAATTGCCTAAAAATCGGTTAATCGCTTCCAGCGAGTTCGAGCGGTTCAGCGTTCACGCGAGGCTTTCTCTCCACTCTCGACCATCCCGCACATGGACTTGGACATGCAGCACCGAGAAAGGAGCGTGAAGAGGCGGTCTCCGTGAGTCTCCTGTGCGCTGCGGGAAACTAGTCGCCTTTGACGAGTGGGTCAGTTAGGGCCCCTGCGGCCTGCCCCTCCCCCCAAAGCCCAATCGTTATCGACTAGTTTCACTCGGATCCTGGCACTCCCAAGTGTCCCATAGATTGCACCTTCGGTGACGGTGCATTGGCGCGTCTCTCTAAAACGGAGAGACGAGAGTTACGGATCGCGCGCCTCCACTAATAGGAAGGGTTTCGCAGTGGTCCCTGACATCCCAACGCGCAGTGGAGGAGAAGCGAGGGCAGGTGGCCCGGAGAGCCTGAAATTCAATTGCGTGATTCTTTCCCAGAAAGAAAGAAAGAAAACAGACAACCCAAGGGAGGGATGGGAGGACGGCACGCCGCCGCCACACAGGGATTTTAAGGAGAGGAGTGTGGTTGGTGCTAGCCGTCGCCCACCCTAAGTCCCTAACCCTTGGTCGTCTGCCTCTTTCTATCTCCCTTCGCAGTCCCTCGCCGATTCTCGCTGCAACCTTCATGCCACCTCGCGGTCGTCCCACTCTCGTCGTTCTCCCTCCTGCCGCTTCCTCCTCTGTCGCGTCGCTCTCGTCTGCCTCGTCGCTGCGACGCCGCCGCGCGCCGCCTGCCGATCCCTTGCTCTCGCGGCTTCTCCCGCCTTTCGGCGCAACTCTGCCCTCCTCGTGGCATATTTTGGCCCCTCGAGTTTATCGAGCTCTCCTCGCGCAAGGACGACTCTTCTGACGCCCACTGCGATCATTTGCCGCCAAGTCATATCGTTGCTCACAGGTCCACTCTCTCTTCGAACACTTGTACCTCCACCGATGATGTTGGCGCTGGGGTCCCCTTCGGGTGCATCGTTACAGCTGACGAGACGGGATTACCACTGGTGTGTCGACGCCTCCTCGGAGTCTTCTTCCCCAGCTTCCCCCCGTTCGGCTCTACGTTCATTACGTTCATCGTGGCTCACCTTCCATGCCGTGAACACAGGCGCCCTATCCATCCTATGTTCTTCTCTCGCTCCTCTGCCCTGGCCTTGGTCTTGTCGTTGTTTCGCACCCACATGTCTGTATGGCGATCGAGGCTGCCTTCCCCACTACCTGTAGTTCACTCGTCACCTCTCCAGCGAGCTGCCCTCTCTTTCTTTCGGGTATGGAGTCCGTGATTCTTTCCGAAAGAAAGAAAACAGACAGCCCAAGGGGGGGAAGGAATTTGCGGAATTCTTTTCTTCGCTGACTGTCAGCGTGCTGTCGCCTCAGACGCCGCCCTTTTCCTAGTTACCCCTACCGCCTCCAAGAGGTTCGCAGCAGCTTCAGCAGAGCAGCATGGGCGGCCTCCTCTCGAGTCTCCCGCCTCTCGAGGCATCGATGACTTCTCCCTTCTCGGTCCTCGTGTGCACGCTGTGCTGGGAGCTGCTCTACCAGACGCTCGGCCTCTTCTTCCAGCTCGCGGCGCCTAGGCTCGTGCTGCGCTCGCACTCAAAGGGCTACAGCAGCATGGCCAACCACGGGCACTCGTACGCCTGCGCCCTCATCCACGCGGTGGTCGTGACCGCGCGGGGGCTTCAGCACCTCGCCGGCCTCGTGGGCGCGCCGGCGGAGGTGCAGATGATGTCGCCGATGGGGCCGGGCGAGCCGGGGTACGAGCTGGCGCACCCGACGCAGCTGACCAACCTGCTCTTCTTCTCGTGGCTCTGCTACGACATCTGCCACATCATCAGCTGGTACCCGCAGCTCGGCGGCGCAGACACAGTCGCGCACCACGTCGGGTTCGCGATCGTCTCCGCCATCCACGGCCTGACGGGCTGCCTGCCGCTGCCCTTCGCCTGGCTCATCACGACCGAGCTTTCCTCGCCCTTCCTCAACATCCGCTGGTTCCTCATCAACAGCGGCCGCGGCGACACGGGCATGATGCACGCCACCAACGTCGCCTTTGCCCTCTCCTTCTTCCTCTCGCGCGTGCTGCTCTACGGCGTCGGCGTCGTGCACCTCGCGCTGCACACGCCCCACCTCTTCTCCGCCGCGTTGCGGCCGCGGCTGTCGCCCTACCTCGCCGCGATCGTCTGCGCGCAGATCCTCTTTGGCTACGGCCTCAACCTCACCTGGGCGAGCAAGATTTACAAAATGGCGACGGCGACGAGGCAGGGCGGCGCCGGTGACGCGCGCCCCGCCCCGCCGCGGCCCCGCCCCCGCCGCGGCCCCGCCTGCCCTCGTGAGGAGCGGCGCCCCTCCCCTCAGGCCGGCCCGACGAGCGGGAGCCGCTCAACGCGGCCGACGGGGCGCCTGTCAAGACGCCGATCAAGGCCAACCTCTCCCCGAACCAGCCCGCGATGCGGATGGCGGCGTCCGTGCGAGGATAGTCAGTTCTGCGGCGATGAAACCAGTCGACGCGACGGGGATCGCCGCCGCAGCAGCGCGGCGGGCGGCGTGCACACTAAACTAAGCTCTTCCGTCTTCGCCATGCGGCCAAGCGTGTCGCGGCCCCGTGCGCGTGGCGTGAGCGAGGCGGCAAGGGCGGAGACAAGCGGGCACTGACACTTGTGTGGGCGTGGGCGTTGGGGGTTTGACACTTATATACTAGACTAGAGAAGAGGAAAAAACGAGAACCTGCAACAGGCCGACGACTCACGTCTCACCGGTCTCTACGGCTTTACACATAGAGTACGCGGTGAGCCATACGGACCTTGCAGTAAACCTTTTCCTTCTAAGCAGGACTACACAATGACCCTATAGTGTGGGGTGTTCCTGGCGAGTTGTGATGAGTAGGATTAGATTAGCCAATGAGGAAGGCTGATGCGGGGCCACCATTTAGTCTCCCATGCACGCGCACCTCTGTCCAGTTGCCATTTGTCATATGCACGATCTGCGAGAGTCCGTCGCTTGCCAACAGCTCTTGGTGTAGTCGCTCGATCTCAGCCCTGGCTGCTTCCGGCGTGCTCGGGAGGATGCCTGCCATGTCCAATGTCCTTGAGATCGCTTAGCATTTCTAAGTCTTAAGCGCCAGTCTGACGAGCTGGGCTTGTGGTGCTCAGCTAGGTCATGCACACACCCTCTGGGTGCTGAGCTGAGTGGAGCGAGTGGAGGCGAGAGTGTAGCGGAGGAGCCGAGCGGAGCCGAGCGGAGCCGAGCGGAGCCGAGCGGAGCCGAGCGGAGCCGAGCGGAGCCGAGCGGAGCCGATGGCGTGCCGATAGGTATCACCAGCCAACACAAAACAGGGGGACCACTGGCCTTGATTTTAGCATTAGCTGAATCCACCGTTTTCGTGAAATAAGTAAGTACTGCTATACACACACACACACACACACACACACACACACACACACACACACACACACACACAGTCACACAGTCACACAGTCACACAGTCACACACACACACACACACACACACACACACACACACACACACACACACACACACACACACACACACACACACACACACACACACACACACACACACACACACACACACACCTCCACCCACGCGCACTAGCTGGGCCTTGCACTTTGAATGCCGTCGGGCTCCTGCCGTCTAGACGTGGAGACGCGAGGGTCGCCCCCCCAGATAATAGTCAAAGTCGACGAGTGCGCCTCGGCCTCGGTATCTCGGTGGCAGAGGCGATCTAAGAGGCGAACCAGAGCACGGCTGGGCGTGTGAGCAGCCGTGTTGCACTGTGCGGCGACTATTTGTCATCAGGAGCGCGCCGCCGCCCCTACACGGCCGCCGCCGCCCTCCCGAGGACAGATAATAGTCAAAGTCGACGAGTGCGCCCCGGCCTCGGTATCTCGGTGCTTTTTTAGCGAGCCCAAGGAAGTTGTCGACGTTCGTCCCGCCGAGAGTGAGCGGCCTTTCGGCTTCTTCCACTCGGTCAGAATCTCCGGGCAGCCGATGTAAGCTGGGAGGACGGCACGCCGCCACCACACAGGGATTTTAAGGACGAAGGAGAGGAATGTCAAGTGCTCTGATTGATTGATGGGAAGGCGAAACACAGTCCGACCAACGACTGGGACACCAACGCGGTATGGATGCTCTGGCCCTTGACGCGCAAACACGGTTTTCTTGCGCAGTTACTTTCGCCTGTCGCTCTCGGCGGCGCTTCCCGCACGATCCTCATGAGATCGAGGCGCAAGAATCAGCCCGGGGCGCGTCTCGTGCCGCCGCCGCTTCGCTCGCTGCGCTCCATCCGCAGCGTCTCTATTCGCGGCGTGCCCACCGCCGCACCGCCGCTGCCCAGTCTGCGGCTGCTGCTTCTCCCACCAGCGCCGCCGGCACGTGCAACGCTCGCGCTGCGTGTGACGGGAGCCGGGCGCGTCGAGTCGCGGGTCTCCACCGCTTCGCTCGTGCCGCGCTGCGACGTGCCGCTCCACGTGACGACCGTCGAGCGGTCGACGCTCAACCCGACGTGGGAGATCGACACAGACCGGCTGCCACCGTCCGTCCTGGCGCTGCGTGCGGTGCGGCTCGTGCTTGAGGCGGTCGGGCTCGATGGCGTGCCCTGTGCGACGCTGATGTCGATGGAGCTGAGCCTCGCCGCGCTTGTGCACGTGACGGCAGACGCCGACGCGGCAGCCGGCGGCGGCAACGGCAGCAGAAGCGGAGGCGGCAACAGCACCTCGGCGGCGGCACTCAGTTCGCTCGCCCTGCTTCCGCCGTGCACGGTTCGGGCCTTTCGACGCCCGTGCCAAGCACCTCCGTCCCTTGAGCCAGCGTCACTTGTGCCGACAGGTGGTCGTCGAGCTCGAGTCGGGCTGCGGCCTGCGCCGCCTCTTCACCACCGCCGACGCCGTCAAACCAATGCTGTCGGCGGGCATGCTGGAGCCTGTGCTCCCTCACGCGTGGCCGGCGGGGGACTCTGCCCAAGAGAGCCCGGCTGGCGCGGCGAGCGACCCCGCTGCCCCGGGCGGCGGTGTCGATCAGGCCTGGCTCGAGCGGCTCGAGCGGTGGGCGGCGGCCGCGCTTCCCGCGGCGGCGGCGGCGGCGGAGGCGGAGGCGGACAACGCCCTGGCGGCCGAGCGGCTGCGTGATGCGCTGCAGGGCCGCGCTCAGCGCGGTGCGAGGGGGGCCGAGGCTCGGCGGCGCCAGGCGGCGCTCGCCGCGCTCCGCGACGAGGTGGGGCGCGAGGAGCGGGAGTGCGAGCGGCAGCGCGCTGCTGTCGCGGCGGCGGCGGCGGAGGTGGAGGCGGGCGCAGCCGAACTGGTCGGGCTGGCCGCGCGTGCAGCTGCGTCTGACGCGGCGTTGGCGGTTGGCCCGTCCAGCTCCGCCGCTCCGCTCTGCGCCCGCCGCGCCGCGATGCTGCGCGAGGTGCTGCTGTCGCTCGGCAAGCTGCTCCCCGTCTTCCCGTCCGGCGCGCCCGCCGCGAGAGCAGGGCCTGCCGCCGCCCGGCTGCCCGTGCCGCTGCCGACCTCCCCTTCCCTTTGCGGGCTGCGCCTCGGCGGCGGCGGCGGCGGAGGCAGGCCGCCGCCCGACGACGAGGAGGCGAGCGCGGCGTTGGGGTTGGCGGCGCTGCTGGTCCGCAGCATGGCGTCGATCGGCGAGGTCCGCCTCTCCTGCACGCTGCACTTGCGCAGCTCGCGCTCCGCCGTGGGCGTGCAGCCGCCCGATGCCGACGCCTCTCCTGGCCGCGGGGCGCCGAAGCTGCTGCCTCTCTTCGGCCGCGGCGCCGACGCAGCCGCGGGCGCAAAGCTGCTGCTCACCGCGGCGGAGCAGCTGTTGCCGCAGCTCGAGGCGCAGCTGGACCCGGCGCCGCCCACCGCAGAGAGCGGCACGCCGACATCCCGCGCAGGTGTGCCGGTCGCCGCCGCGCCGCGCAGCTCCCTTTCGGCCGGCGGCATGCTGCTAGATTTGCTCGCCGCCTTTTTCGCCCGCGTCGCCAGTTCAGAGGGAAAGGCCGCGACGCCTCCAAAGACGCCGACATCCACCGCCCCTGAGGCAGGCTCGCCAGCGCCGTCGTCTAAGGCAACCATAACCACACATCCGCTGCCACTGGCTCCGCCGCCGCCGCCGCCGAACCCGCCGAACCCGCCGAACCCGCCGAACCCGCCGAACCCGCCGCCGCCGCCGAACCCGCAGCTGCCACAGGTGGAGCCGCCGCCACCACACCCCGCTGCAAACGGCAGTCCTCCAACCGCAGCCTCCTATATCTCTGATCATTCGACGAGTTCTGTGCCAGTCTTTCATGTGGATTAATAGCGACATCGTTTTCACGTGGGCTCGGTATATCATTTAAAAGCTTTCCCGCGCACATGTGACGCTGACGGCGGTCGGGCGGTGTCCGGTGAGAGTCGCTCCTCGACGAACCTGCAGGCTCGCTCGCGGCTCGCGCGCACGAGCACCCTGTGCCGCTGTCCCTTCAGAGAAAAAAACACCATCATTACACCGCTTGATCCGTGTAATCAACGCTTGTATTGTGAATACTATATACCCCCCCTTTTTCTTGATGCGGTGACGGCTTTAAGTCAGTGTTACACACCTCCAAGCATGGAGGACGGAGGAACACGTTCACTATTCCTTGAGTAGTACTGTCACCGAGAAAAAGACGCCCAGCCAATTCTCGGTCAGCCGTTCCAGGATGCAGGAAAAAATAGTTTCGGTGGTCTGAGGCGGCCCAGCGGACCCCAGCGGACCCGTTGGCACGGCCAGCGCGCGTGGGGCACCGGGGCGACCCCCCCGTCTCACTAGTGTCCTTCCTTTGGGTGTGAAAACGCGACCTCGCCGTCAGACGAGCAGCGCACCGTTAGACGGAGGCGCGCGAGCGCTCGGAGGCCGCCCGACACGACTCACACATGCCTGCGTTGGAGTATTTTTCCGGTCCGATTTTCGGGTGCTCTGTTCACGGCACGGAAAAAACAAGCAGGTGAGAGGCTCGTCCTCCGACTCTCACGCCTGCAAGCCGACTGGGGCACCGGAAAATTATTCCGAGCCGGCGGTCCTCGCGTCCGACTGTGTGAGTGACTCGTGAGCCACCCCGACACCGCTCGGACCGCCTCTCCGCGTCGGCGTCCATGCCGCCGGAGCAGTCGAAACGTGGGCGTCTGAGCGTCGCCTGTGTCATCTGCCGAGCTTCCAGGCGGGCCTGCGACGGCAAGTTTGCCGACTGCGCCAAGTACGTGCCGCTACCCGCGACCGCCTCCGACGCTACCGGCCCGTCTCAGCCCGCCTCGCCACCTTCGAGCCGGCCTGTTCGCTCCAAGACGAGCCCGGGCGGCTCGCAGCACCGCGGAGCTCCGGTTTCCCTCGCCGCCGAGCCGGCTTACGCGCCCGTGGAGGAGATGCGCGACAGGACCGACCAACGCTACGACCTCAAGCGGCGGCGGACGTCGGAAGAGGCGGTGGGAGAGCAGCGGCCTCCGCGGACTGGGCGGCCGATGCGGTCATCGAGGCGGATGGCAGGACGAGGAGCGGGAAGCTCGGCTTCGAGCAGGCGGACGGCCGCCTGATGGAGCTGCTCGTCCTCGCCTCCGCCTCCGCGTCGCCGGACGCGCCGCTGTCGCTGCAGCTGGAGAGGTGGCTGGCAGTCTGGGCCAAGCCGCCGTTGCGTGTGCGCTAGGAGCGGCACTGAAGCCGTACTGACACACAGTTCTCCTGCGTTTGCTCGCGCAGGTGGTGGCGAAGTTGCTGCAGCGGCCGGAGCTACTCACCCCTCCTCACCCCGGCCAGGACGACAAGACGGCCGACGGCGAGATACGTGGTTCGTCACACGGCGCGCGGCCGGGAGGCGAAGAACCCACACTCGAGAAGTACGAAGAACGTGCGGCCCGTTGGCCGTTGACGCTCGGTGCCAGTCGAGTGGGTCAAAACTTGCACGAGCTCAACGGCGAGTTTGCCATCTTCAAGGCTTTGCCGAGTGAGCAAGACCGCGTCGCCGCGACGCGCCTGCCTCCCCGTGCCAGAGCTCAAGTGGGAGAAGGAGGAGGGTGGCAGCCTCTCTTCCACCTCGCGTGCGGGCAGGTTTGAGGACGTCTGCAAGTAGATAGCATAGGCTCAGGCGCGCACATTACGTAGCGGGTACACCGCGCGCGCGTGATGGTATGTGTGCCCTGTGTCTCTTGTTTGTCTGGTCTGTGCCTGTCTGAGTGAGGTGGTCTCTCAGTGGCCTTTACCTAGAACAAGAAACCTACACAAACTAGGCGGATTGCATCACGTGGATCGATATAAGATTCATTATTTGGACGCATCCCAGAAGTGACGCGAAGGCCCACACGAATGCAGGCCAGAGTCTTACCTCTCCTGCAAGAACGCAGCGGTCTTGGAGCTTCCCCGTCACGTTCCTGCCGCATCTTATCCGTGGCGACGCGCTGTGCCATCGAGCCGTACTCGGCCGCGACGCGCGTCGAGGCACGCTGGACCGACCAAGCAGCGACGCCAAAGCGTCGACCGATAGAGCGCCACGCCCAGCAGTATGGGCGTCGACCGCTCTCTCGAGCGGCCGCGTGGTGGTGCGTGGCGCGGACGTCACGGGCGGCAAGCGTGGAGCCGCTGGAAGAGCCGGTGCGAGCCGTGGACGGCAGACGCTCCCCACGTCGCCGAGAGAGGCTGCGGGAGAGGGTTCAGGAGGCCACCGGAGGCGCCGGGAGGCTCGGGAGCCGCTAAAAAGTGGCCCGGGCACCTCGCGCCAACCGTCTGGTGGGGCCAGGTGGGCTCAGGAATTAATCCAGGATTTTAAGGTGATCCACTACACCTGACCGAGAATTGGCTGGGCCGCCTCTGGGGGCCTTGTTGCTTTGACATGAGAGATCGAGACTTGCGAGTGTGGGGAGTCTCGTGGAGTGTTGTGGGGAGTCCAGACCGCACAGAGACCTCCGAGAGTCGAGAGAGCAGAGTCCAGCTTGAGTTCCTCCAAGGCGGTACCCGGCACGTCGCGGCCACAGCGCGCGGAGCAGACAGCAGCCCCGCCCTTTCAGCAGAGAAAGAGCACGAGGCGGTATCGCTCTCCGGCCGACGAGCTCACTCGAGCGACTCCACCAGCCTCCGCGCCTCTGCCAGCAGCGCGCTGTCGTCAGCAAAGAGGCGGAGTGCAACCTTGTCCAGGTCGTAGGGCGGTTCGAAGCCGAGGCTGACGAGCCGGCGGGTGTCGGCCTTGCTGGGCGGCAGCCGCGTCGCGAGCCGCGCAAAGAGCGCGATGCCGCGATCCGGCGGGGGGGGACGGCTCAGCCGGCGCCACCCCGCGCCCTCTTCGGTGGTGTGCAGCGTGTCGAGCCACGTCAGCTCGCGCGGGTTGATGGCGTTGAACGAAGGAGAGCGTCCAGGCGGCAGCCAGGAGACCTGGAAGAGGACCCACGCCTCGCCGCGCTCGTCCACCTCGCAGCCCGCCGGTGCGTCCTCTCCATTCACCAGCACCTCGATGAACGAGTCCAGCGGTGGCCGCACCCGCCGCGGAGCGCCCGGCTGCGGAGGGGCGGCCGCAGCGCTTGCCGTCTCGGCCGCCCCGCCAGCTCTCGCCTCGTCGCCGCCCGCCTCCTCGTCCGACTCGTCGCCCGAGCCGCCGTCCGACTCTCCGTGAGAGACGGCGACGCGAGGCCGCTTCGAGTGCGGGCGAGAGGACGACCCCGACGGCGTGTAGGAGGGCTCCTCGTACTCGCCGTCGCCGCCAAAGCTCTTGCGTGGCCGCTTGGCGCCGGCGCCGCCGCCCATGGACTTGCGCCCGTCGGGCTTGCTGCTCGCCAGCTGCTCATTCACTGGCTGCGTGAGCGTCAAGTAGCCCTCGTCGGCGAGAATCACCTGACCACGCGCGCGCCGGGTCATCAGCACGGCCGGTGTGCGCAATGGAGGGAGAGCGCGTGCGGCACTCACGTCATAGGCGCGAAGCAGCGCGTGCAGCGATGCGTGGAGCTCGGCCTCGGGCGGCAGCTCTCCGGCGCCGAGCCGCAGGCTGACGATACTCCCCTTGGCGTAGTCGGCGGCGAGGCCTGTCTTTCCCGCGCGCAGGTCAATCTCGCCGCTCAAGTCGAAGCCGCCGTCGGCCAGCAGCTCGAGCTCGGCGCAGCGCCGACGCACGTACCGGCCCACCTCGGCCAGGTGCGCGCCAGCGGCGAGCTGGCCAAGGGCCGCCTTGAGCTTCGACGTGCCCTGGCCGAGGCACAAGTGCGCGGCCGACATGTCCGCCGCGAAGAGGAGCTGCAAGTAGAGCCCGTGCTGCGTCGACTGCTGCGGCGCCGCGACGGCAATCCAGGGGACGCGCGCCCACCCGCCGCATCCGACAGAGGCGCGCACGGCGTACGCCTCCCCGATCGAGGTCTGCAGCTCGAGGACGATGCCGTCCATGAGCTGGCACCACCTGTGGTTCTTGCTGAACTTGACGCCGTCGCCGCGGTAGTCGTACTCTGCCATGAGCCGGTCCTGCGGCGGGGAGGGACGGGGGTGGGCGAGGAGCGAGCGCCGAGAGCAGCGCGCGGGTGGGGTGGCTCCCTCACCATGCCGTCGCGCAGCTTGGTCGCGACCACCGTCGGCGCGTCCGGGAAGCGGAACGAGAGGCGAGGCACGAACTGCCCGTCCTCGCTCTGGGCGACGCGCAGGTCAACGTACACTGCCCGCCGCTCGGCCGCCGCCTTGACGCCCCGCATGTGCTTGAGAGCTGCCTCGCGCGTCCGCTCCGCCTCGCGCGCCTCCTTCTCCTGCTGCCTCTTCACCCGTGCCTCCTCCTTCTCGGCCTCAATCCGCCGCGCGCGCTCCTCGGCTGCCGCTCGCTTCGCTGCGGCGGCCGCGGCTTTCTCCACCTGCTCCGCAGCGCGCGCCGCCTCGCGCCGCACCGCCTCCTCGGCGCGCACGTGGCGGACAGCGGCGCGCTGGCAAAGCTCGGACAGCACCGTTGTCACCACCGAGCGCACCCGCGCCGCCTCGCGCGCCTCGCGCTCGGCCGCGCGCCGCCGCGCCTCCTCCTCCCTCGCAGCCGCCTTCTCGGCTCGCTCGGCCGCCTTCTCAGCCGCTCGCGCCTCGCGCTCCGCCCTCCGACCTGCCGCTCCGGCCGAGTCTCGCCGACCGCCGCCGCCTCCGCCGCCGCCTCCGCCACCGCCGCCGCCGCTCATGCCGACCTTGGCTGGCGCTGGCCGCTCGCAGCCGGCGGGGTACAGGCTCAGCACGAACCTCTCCGCCGCGGTGGCGGCGCCGGCGCGCTGGAGCGCGCACGGCGCATCCTCACCGCCCTCCCCTGCGCCGTGCGGGCTGGCGTTTTCGCGCTGCGACGGGCTGTCGCCCTCTGCAGTGGCTGCCGCCGCGAGGACCGGCAGCGCGGCCAGAAGATGGCGGAGGCGGTTGCGCAGCTGGCGCGGCTCGACGGCTCCGGCCGAGGAGCTGTCGTGCGCCGCCTCTGGGCCGCCGCTTGAAGTGGCGCCCAAGGAGCCCGCCTCGCCTCCCGCCTCGCGTCCGCCTTCGCTGAGCAGCGTCAGGCCGTGGAGCGACCGCAACGAGCCGTCGGCGAGCATGGCTCCCCACGATCCGATGCCATGCGCATGCACACCCAGCAAGAGGTCCGTATCCTCCGCCTCGCCCCAGATGCGCGCCGCCGCCGCGCCGTCGGCGGCCTCGTCGGCCAGTGTCGGCGCGGCGGCGTCCGCGCCATCGGCAGCCTCGTCGGCCACGTCGGCACCAGCCGCGCCAGGCACCACCGGACCGAGGATCGCTGGCTTCTGGAGCCGCGCCGGGAGCACGGGCGCGTGGAAGGCGCCCACCTCTACTCCACCACCTTCGGCTGCCGGCACTCCCCCCACCCCGGCCGCCTCGATCGCGGTGCGCAGCCGGCGCAGGTCGAGCAGGGCGGCGAGCAGGTTCGCTGCCCGCGAGGCGATGCGGGTGGAGAACCAGCCCTCGAGAGAGGTGGGGACGCGCATTGCAGGCTCGGGGGGGGGCGCGGGCGTGGCACCCGCTGCAGGCGGCGCTCCGCGCTGCAGAAAGTGCCACAGCCGGTGCCGCGAGGCCTCCCACTCGGCGGCGGCGCCCTCGGCGTCGAAGGCGCCGTCCTGCTCCGCCTGTGGGCAAGGACAGGGGGTGGCGGGGGGGCGACGTCAGCTGGAGCTTGGCGCGGCGACGGGGCGCTCGTCCACGCCTGCTCGCGCACGCACGCCAACGCTACCATCACGGCCACGTCAACAACGGCGGCCACCTCTGCATCGTCGCGGCCGCCGAGCGTCGCGCTCGCTGCAGCGCGCAGCTCGGCGGGGCGGCCATACCCCAGCGTGTGCAGCCCGCTGAGCACCGCCGACAGCTGCGCCTTGGTCCACGGAGGGCCTGCCTGCGCCGCCTTGGACGCGTCCTCCTCGGGCGGCGGAGGCAACACATTCGCCGAGAGCCTCCGCGGGGGCCCAGCCGCCCGCCGCGAGTACCGCGACACGCCGCCGCTCTCCGTCATGCGGTAGGTGTCCTCCTCGTCCGCAAACTCGTCGTCCTCGCCGCCGAGGTCCGCCTCAGCGTCCTCGCCGAGCACCTTGGACCAGAAGTGCGGGTCGTGCAGGTCGAGGGCGGCGTCGCCGTCGTGCGCCACGAAGGTGGCGCTCGCAAAGACGGAGGCCTCTCCGCCGCCGCCGCCGCCGCCATTTCTGTGGTCGGCGTCAGCGG